CACACACACACACACACCAGAGGGAGCCACACACCCACCTCTTTATAGCTCTCTCGCTCTGACACGCACCCACAAGCATGCACAGCCTTGCACGCACGCCGCACACACACACACACACACACACACACACACAGATGACACACAGGCAGGCAGCGTCAATAAAAAGCCCAGCGCTGTGAGAGGCCGCCGGCACTCCACTCCCCCCTCCTGCCACTGCGATTAGCGGAGGCTGGCTGGCTGGGGAGAGGCGCCCCTCTGTTATCTGGGGCGGTGGCAGCCTGTGTGTGTGTGTTGAGAGAGTGAGAGAAAGAGAGAGAGGGTAGAGGGAAAGATTAATTTAACTCTTTCGGGGCCAGACCGCAGCGCTTGGAGCTCCGCTCGCTCCTGCACTCCGCTCCGGCAGCAGCAGCACAGCCGAGCTGTTGTTAGACAGGATGACGGGAGAGAGGGACATTAAACGCGCCATTCTCCAGAAAGACATATGTGAGCAGGGTCATAGCCACCGAGGTCACGTCCTCTGTAACAGCCCATTTCAGTGGATTTGTTTTTTTTGTGGGGGGGATTTTATAATTATAGGCCTGCATTTTACACACGCTGGGTTTTAAGGCTGAGTCTTTGGACTTTCCAGACAATTGTTTAAATTGTGGACCCTTTATTGGTAGAGAGGGATTTATTCTCCACCAGGGTGAAGGAGTAGAGAACAGGTTTCAACATTTAGACGAGTGTTGTCAGTTAGAAGATCGATTTAAAAAAAAATCGTCAACGATTTTATTTTAATCGACAAATAATTTAAGATATTTTGCCTAACATTTGCTGCTTCCAGATTCTCTGGTTCATTTGAAATTGTTCTGCTTTTCTTTGTCCTATAACACAGTAAAGTCAATATCCTTTGGGTTTTAAACTGTTGGTTGGGGAAAACTATTTAAAATTTAAATATGTTGGAAGTGTCATTTTATAGTCAAAACAATTAATTGAGACATTATCAGATACATTTATAATCAGATAATAATATAAATAATAATAACTTTTTAATTACTCAGAAAATTGTACAGAGTTTGGTTGGTGACTTGATAAACATTTCCTAGGTGGGTGGGGGTTTTGTTTGGGGAATTTGGGGAACTCTTAGTGAAAATGTACCGGAGGGACAATTTGATCCAAAACATTCGTCTAAATGGTCAAACTGGTCTCATTGTAGATGTTGTCAAGCTGGCACATACACTAAAGACTCACAGCTCTGAGAATGATGTATTTCTTCTCATTTCATCTACTGCAGTGTAATGTTGGTCTCAGGAAAGTAAGATAGCCTTGAAACCAATCAGATCCCTTCACCTCACCGGCCTTTAAAGGTCTCTGAAAACCACAACATCAACACCGCTGTATTTATCTACTTGCAAAATGTTGGGGCTTTGAGAACTTGAATTTTGTTGTTTACAATTTCTCAAAATGCTGCTCCTGCACCGCTGAGGAGCTTTGTTCAGCTCTGCTCTGAGCAAATTATCACAGATTCAAGGTCAGTGTCAAGAGGAGAGGAATCCCTTGAAGCACTGTCTTTGCATAACTTGTCTTCCCATCTAAGGCCATTTCTCAGTGGCAGAAACAACCTGATCATTTGAAAATATGGTGGTAAAACATGAATTTTCAAGTAGTCAGCATGCAGTTATGTGTATTTCTTTATTTTATATAACTATGTTCCCGAAGTAAGTGAGAGTTATTGTGTTTGTTTGCACACGGGGGGTGAAACAGGATTACACTGCAGTTGCCCTTCATTGTATTTTGTAGTTTGTAAGCGCTCTCTGAATGGCAGGATTAACCTGTGAGGGAGGCCCCTGGGCAAAAATTTGCTAATGAGCCCCTGTTGTCTTAAAACTTCAGTTTGGCAGGGCCTCTCGACAATTACCAAAAACTGAGTGACACATGGTGAACACAGAGCATCTGGAGAGAGGACATTAGTTCTTTGGGGCATAGCTATATGTGTCTTTTTGTTCTTTTTGTTAAATAAAATCCATAGAATCACAAGAATATGGCCGTATCTCTGAATATTACACATTTGCTGTTTTTCCTTCTTGTCAACAAATCCCAGGAAAAGACCAAAACCAACAATAAACATATCCCACCAACAGTATACCGTCTGTATATCTAGTCTGAGATCTTCTTCCTCTGTGCCACAGATCAATCAGTGAGCCTGTTGCACTGGCTGACATGTTTCTTCATTACAATGAACATAACCCCTCTAGTTTATTTTGAGTCCAATCCACCTACACCTTCCTGTTGGCACAAATGCTTTATGGGGCACCAAATATAAATATAAAATAGTGCCAACAAGCGCACTATTTACTCAATTTCTAAATTTTTTGTTAGAAACTACAATACCCAGGTTTTTTTTTCCCTTCAGAAAATCGGTAAACCTTAACTTAAACTTTAAATAAATACACAATATGTATTTGGGGCCAGCTTTTGAATATTAAATTCTTCAGTAGGAATACAAGAGCCACATCCAGGGCAGGGAAGTTGGGACGGACTAACGCATTGTTGGTTTTGGTGTCATAGGATTTGTTGACAGGAAAAAGTATAAAATAACCCTTCTCATAGGGTGCATTTTAATCTCAATATGAAATACTACGGTTTGCGTTTTGAATGTGAAATAAACTTTAGTATTCGGCTCAAATGCCGCTCCTTTATGTCTGCATGCAGGCACACAGAGGGAAGGTCTGCGCTTATACCAACAGCCCGGAGCACGCTAATTAAAACACCTGATGTAAAGCTCGACACAACAAGTTGGACTCAATTATTTCTACCTTTAAGACGCCATTCATGCGGGCTGTAATCTGCACATTAACCTTCCCCGGCGTTATATTTACAGTAAAGCGGCGGCTGGGCTGAGTTTGAGAGGGGCTCTACCGTCCAGGCGGGGATGTGTTGGAGCCCAACCCCTACCGGACCTGCCTCACTTTCGCTCCGAGGTGACGGAGGGAGCTCCGGCTTGTTTTTCAGCGTCTGGGCTGCTGCTGCTGCTGTCGCCTCTCTCTCTCCCCCTCTCTCTGTGCGTCACAGCTAGGTCATGGCCGGACTCCAACAAAGGCTCCGGTTTCTCGAGCCACGTGCACGTGCGCAAACACACACACACACACACACACAGAGAGAGAGGCACCGGGAGCACACCAACACAGATCTGACAAATGATAGGGTGGCGAGGCGAGGCGAGCTAATAGTAGGCAGTGCGCCTGCCGACATGCCCGTGGGCCGCGGGTGTTAAATTGTATCCAATTACGGCGCATGCGACGATATGAGGGGGGAATAATAATTCTTCTTGCGTGACAGGGAGATTCGCTTATTTCCCGGGCTCTTTATATGGAGTGGGGGTTGCGGGGCTCGAACCGTAGAAGCGTCTGTGGGAGAGCCTGTGGAGGTGTGTGGAGGTCTGGTTTTCTGGAGGACATGGCGCACATATTTCATTAATCAAAATCCAGTTAACCAGATTTGGAGACGGCAGGGGCCATCAGGGGTCCGGCAAATAATTAATATCCATTATTTAAGAAGCCCAAGTCTAAAAAGACGTCTTAGCGCACATCCAAACACACACACACATACATGGACACTCACCTCACAGGAGGCATCGCAGTGGCATGAGGGATTGCCATCAATGTGAAAATGAAATAAACACGCCCAGTCTCAGCTTTGTTATGAAATGTCTCTCCTGCTCATTTATTTGATGGAGTGCACAGTCAAGTAAAACCAGCAACAGTGCCAAAAGGGGGGTAGGGGCACAATGCGTGTGTGTGTGTGTGTGATACAGTGGTGGGGCTCTGTGAACTGCAAACTAAAGTTGCACTCTGGTGTCATTGACGCCCAGCAGAAAAGTTCAACAACTGAAGGGTAAAAAGGGTCAAGTGTCGGTTCATTAGTTCAACTTGTCAGAGAGGCAGCTGACAGCGGCAACACGCGTCGACAGTGATGAAACCACCTACATATGAGGGAAAACCAAATGGGCTGAGGTTGAATATAAAGTGACTCTATTATCCTGCCAATCACACCTCAGCTATGTCCCCTCAGAGCCTCTGACAATGGCCATGAGATGATGAACCATCGAAGGCTGTTGCTATGCCGTGGGTGCTGTGAGTGTGTCATCTTTTCCAACCTGTTTTGACAGCCACCTTAGAGAAAGCATTGTGTGTATATGTCTGTGTGTGTGTGGGAGTATGTTTGACCAATAACATGTTTTTTTAAAAGTTGTTCATAAGGCTATATATGTACTGAATCAGGTTGTGCTCGACTGTCACGTGAGAGCAGCAGGTTTGGACCAAGAGAAGCATTTTCTTCACATTCCAGTCCAAGGCACGTACAAAAATAGTGTGTACACTTAAATATATACAGTACATCGATCTGTTATAAATACAGTAAAACAAATAAATGCAAGAGTTCATAAAAAATACAAAAATCTTTTCAAAGGAATACTTGTGCGAAAGTTGCAACAACAGTAATGTCATATGCAAAGAGAAACAACAGAAAACAAATACTGTCTGTGGAAGGAGAGACTCCCTGCCAGTAACACTCTTGCTTTTTGGACTTATTTGCCCTACCGAGTGACCATTTTAGAACCCCCTCCTGTATTTCCACTGCACCCCACCTCCCCCCTTTCGGATAGAAAACCATTCAGTACCCAGATCAGTCTCAGTGTGGATGCAGACGCTTTCACAACTGACACACAGGGTGCTTTTTAAAAGGCCTGCTTTTCACCTCATCCCCTGAAGAGAAGTGAAAAGGTAATTGCTGTGAATGCTAAACTAACACCTTGTTATGATTGCCTTTCAGCAGTCCTTTGTCTTTAGGTCCTTTTTTTTTTTTTCTTTCATATTTGTGGTATGCCAAAAACACTGCAGAATGCCGGAGTCAAGAAGGCGGTGCAGAGAGGGAAATCGTTTTAAGACCTTTGGGATGCAGCAGATGTCTTTAACATTAGGAGGATCTTTAGATCCGCTCTTCTCTCGCTCCTCTCTGATGGTACTGTAGTATTGCAGGGAGCTGCAGCTCTGCTCAGTATGTGTGTGTGTGTCTTTAGGATATTAAATAGTAAAGGATGGGGATTAATAATGGAACCTGACAGCTCATCTCCGGCTTCTATCTGCCTGACTGTCCCCCCAATCTTCCCTTCCATTCCCTCCCTACCTCTTCTTCCTCCTTCTCAGTTTCTAATCCGCTGCGTTCCTCCCTTGCTGTGACCCCCCTTCGTGCTCTTTTCCTCCAGCTCTTTTGTCCTCTCTGTCTCTCCCTCTCTCCAGTCCTCTCTCAGGGCCCTCGGTCTTTCAGGGTCATGTCAGGAGAGTAGAAGAGCACGTTGGTGTCATCGTCGTCGTCATCGCTGAGGTCGGCCAGGTCAGCCTGTGTGTAGCGCACCGCCCCGGGGTGGTACTCTCCGATCCGAGTCCTGTCACACAGCCGTGACTGCAGAGCCAGCTAGAAAAATCACACACACACACAGTTTGAAATTAACACACGGTTGGTACTGGTGTTAAGATTATGTTACACTAAGCCTACATTTGAAATCTTTTTCTCTCTCCATTCTGGTCATCCATACACATTAAGCTGATGTTTTACACACTCGAAGACAGTCTCCTGAGTTGATAAATGTGAAAATGCTGGCAGCGTGTTTAACTCCCCATTTGGACTTGAACGCTACAGGCGAGACAGGCTGCTTCATCGTGAACTGAGCTTCCAAATAACATCCTGGTGCTGCCCACCGTGATTTAAGACTCAAAAATTGCAGCACCAACCTGGAGAAGTTCAATGAAATGTTCAACTAATGCCCTCTGACATGCGGCAGTGACATCCTGGATACAATCAATTACCAACACTTGTTTTGATTCCCTCTGGCAAATGAAGCACAGTTGTTTTTCATTTTCTACTCCACTCAACTACATGAAAGTACCAAACTTTAGACAGATAGGAGGAAGAGCTGATTGTCATGTTCAATATAATGGTGGTGTGTTCTTTATACTACGACAAAAAATATGATTTTTATTAAAATCGCAATATAAATCAATATATTCAATTGCAACCGCTGTATTGTGATACGTATTGTATTGCAAGATTCTTGCCAATACACAGCCCTAATAGTAACAAGACTTGAGTAAGACAAATGATTGCTTGACAATGAACATTAACTACTGTCTTGTGCACCAGTATTGTGGGAAAAGAGCTAAGTATGTAATTTACATGCTTGATTCTTACACGTTTGTAAGCCTCAGGCTCATGGGAAGCAAAAGAGAGCATGCTACTTTGACTTCGTTATGGCCTGAATATACTCCCAGACGGATGAGAACACAGCTGCGGACAACACAGCAGCGTAGTAGTCCTGTTTGTACTACTTTCTAAAGTTCGCTTGGAGGTCATGTTCCTGGCTGGTTACCCAAAGCGTAGTGGATGTGGTGCAGTCACCAAAAGTATGTGGTATATCTGGTTTGATACATAGGCAACACGTACACCCTCTGATGACAACATTTACGCCACTTGCCCCCTTGTGTATTAGCGCATGCGCAAAGTATACCTGCTTTTAGGGGGCCACTGTACTCAGACATAACTGCTTGTCGGATGGCGGAATAACTCAGGACATCCCCTCCCCCCACACATTTCTGACACCAGATTAGGAAAGGCTGTGTCTGACCATTTCTGTAACTTTCCGAAACCGACGATGCAATATACAAACCCACTTATGCGTGATGCCTTCAGCATGGACCAGGCTTTTTGAAAACAATGATATAAGCCTGGTTAAGGACACTATAGCAGCAAAGTTAAGAAGACACCCCTGTGTCACCTCTTACTTTCTCTGGTCACTTATTTTAAATGTCATAGTCAATCACACAGTAACGATTTTGTGATCAAACAGGTTTATACCGATTTTGTCAGATGACTTTGGGGATCATAAAACAATGATCTGATTGACGTCTCAGAGCAACAGTGCAGGGACTTCTCTTCGCCTGGTTAAGGTAACATTTATGAGCCGCGATCAAATCACTATTTCATACTCATTCAGCTGTCTGACAACAGAAACAGACAAATATGTAAATGAGAAAAAAACAAGCAGTGAATTTCGACTGTTTTAAAACAAAGAATAGGTGATCACAGAGAACAAGAGGGGGGCAGAATGTTTAAAGTTTAACCAGCTGAGACTCAGCACGGTATCCAGGCTGTGATATCTACTCCTTAATACATGATGGCTGTGATGCACAGTTTTGATGTTTACAGGTTGAAATAAGACAGCAAAGAAGAGAATCTTTACAAAAACTTCTGTGGACACACTGTTGTCACGCATTAACAGCATGATCAAAACTCGCCAGTTGTCTTAGTGTGGACGTAGTCTAAGATTGCAGTGATGCTGAGACATAAGGAGATGAGGGAGCAGCTCTTTCTTGCATGCACACTCGCGTACACACAGAAGAAGGAGCGAGAGGTGAGCTCATTGCAGAGCCACAGGCGGTTCAGCTGTATGGCTAGAATGCAGATCAATATCAGGGAAGGAAAGAGTGGAAGAGGGGAAGAGGGAGCGAACACAGGTGGGAGGGAGATGCTACACAAAGGAGAGCGGCAGAAATAATGTAAGAGAGATAAATTCCAGAGATGCTGTAACAGGGTACAGGGAACAGAGGAGGCAAGGGAACAGACACACATACAGTACAGAGAGACAGAGATAGGCAGAGAGAGGGAGGAGGAGAAGCGTCAAAGACTGCCGTGGAAGAGAGGGGAAAAAAAACTACGGAGGACTAGATAAAGCCAGAGATACGAGGCGGAGAGACAGCAGAATGTTTACACACAAGAAACCACGTTACTGACAGGTTACTGTCCCGTAGGTAATTAGACAACAGGTTTATGTAAAATCCTTATATACTCGCAGCAGGTCAGTCATCAAAAGGGGCTGCATAGTGTAAGTTTTAGTTGCACCAAGACTGATGAGGCCTCATTTAAGCTGCAACTAACTTCAGAATTCACAGGATTAAGAAGAGGTCAGATTTTTTGGTTTGATTTTTGGAATCACGATTCAATTCTCAATTCACACATAAACAGAAAAAGAGGCACCATCTTTTAGTGCCACACCGCTCACTCATGTTTGTAGTTTGCTGAACTGCAGAATTTGCAGAAACATAACTGTCAGTTAAGCTAACTTGTCTTAAAGAAGGTCACTGTCTGACAGAGCAGAAAAAGCGAGAAGTGTGTGGGAGTATGAAGTGCAGTTAACTGCAATCATTTGGAAACGTGACAGTCTTCTGCCTGAATGAGAATAATAAAATCTAAGTTTTTTACTGACCGCCACTGGCCTCAGTGTTAAAGATGTAACATTTCGCTAGCAACATAGGAAGAGGACATCCCCGTTTTTAATCACAAAGCTACAAAGCTCTGACTGGTCGACTGTTTCTTCAACTGCAGGAAACAGTTGTTTGGCACAACACCAGGCCAATTTGAATCACTGAACACTTAGATTTTTTGCAGTGATTCAGTCTGATATAAGGCTACAGGTGCAGGTCTTTTGAAAATCAATAGCGTATATCAAGTTAATCTCCATAGACTAAACTAGGGGTTTTCAAAAGTCACACACTCTGGATCTACCTCTGACAAAACTGAGATTATGCCAATGGTTTGCTTGTTAGTCTCTGAGTGACGGTGTACAGTTTATTCGCAAAATACTTCACCTTCATCTTGCAGAACTAGTTACTGAGTCATTAAATCCAAAATGCTCCCAAGTGCCTGCCTTTATTCAAGATGCCCTAAACTCACAGTTACATTATGGAGAAACACATTTACGTTATCAGCAACGTACGAACATTTATGGAATGTCACAATGTACAGTGATCCCGCCTGCCCATAGGATGAAGACTGTAGATATCATCGTCATACACCACTGCCACATTCGGAGGGGATCCCCTTATGGCAAGTATGGTGAGCAGGGACTGACAACTCTTTCAATGTACGCATGGCATATGAGTAGTGCATTAAGACAGACTAGAAAAAGTCTGAGCCAGTCCCTTTAAATGCATGTAAACGCACCGCAGGCAAACAGCAAGACAGACACAGAGAGCGAGGGAGCTAGAGGAGGCAGAGTTAGGAAGGGTGGGGGGTGTCTGGTACGAAAGCGCAGATTTGTTGCGTTGAGGGAGGAACATTTTGAAGCTGTTACAACCCCCCCACCACCACCTCCTCCTTCTCTCCCTTACCCCTCCTCTCCCCGCCAATCTCACACCTGATGTGTGGGGGCTGTTGGGAGTCGCATGCCAAGATGAATAACAACCGGCTGTTAGTCACGATAGAGCATGAACATACACGCCGCCTGTCTCTCTCTCTCTCTCTCTCTCTGTCGTCTCCTGTCTCACCTTCTCCCTCTTTCTCTCTGGCACACACAAACAGCATTTTCTCTGTGATTTACGGACGCATTGAGATTCCATTTCGCTCCTCTGTCTCTCTGTGTCTCTCTCTCTACTCACCACAGTGAAGCATTGACATTTGGGTTGAAGGTCATACCACACATTCCACTCTTCCACACTGCGCTCATGACCCGTTATCAGTGTGGTTGGTGATACAGAGCAGGTGACAATATGCGTGTTTGTGTGTGTGTACGCGGGAACTAAAACCACAGAGAATTTTTTTTCTATGTGGTTCAATATCAGCTCTGACTCGCATCCGCAGATACTGCCAATGTTTGTAGATTGAGACAAATCTGTGGAGAATTGTATTGATTGTAGTGTTTATTGAAATGCAACCAATGAGGTTTGCAGTTCAAATGTAAAAACATCATTCCTCTGGTAATTTTGTCTTTATTACATTTCTCTAAAAGCTCATTTTGTGAAACCACTAAAAACTAAAGTCATTGATTTGTATTTTTACTCCTTAAATAAAAGGATTTGTATCAACGACCCAACAATTATCTCCTATATAAGTGGTGCGATAGCACCTTTTACAAATGGTACCAATCAATTTGGAAAGTTAAGTAGTCTAATTACAAATTCTAAAGTGATTATTTCTAATAAGAAGGCTAAACTTCTAGAGGTAAAAACTTTTTTGCAGGATTAGCACAATTTATAATAAGTATTTTGAACTCAACATTCCTACAGTGATTAAAAAAATACAGAAATAGAGAAGAGCTACAACTAACTGTCATTTTTCCTATAAATTAAAGGACCAGTGTGTAGTAGTTAGTGCCATCTAGAGGTGTCATTGCAGATTGCGATCAACTCACCTCACTCCCCATTCCAAGTGTGTAGGAGAAACTTAGGTGTCCATGAAACTCACAATAAAACACAAAAAGCCCCATCTAGGGCCAGTGGTTGGTTTGTCCTTTAGTGCTACTATAGAAACTTGGCGGTTCAAGAGGGCTGCCTCCACAGAAGAGGACCCAGTCCCTCTGTAGATAAAAACAGCTCATTCTAAAGCCGGGGTAGGCAATCTGCAGCACTAGAGCTACATGTGACTCTCCAGTAGCAGCTTTCACCATTTTCATTCATGATTTTTTTAGGGCCTAAAGCGATTCTTATATTCTCCAATTGTAAAAACAAATAAAAATAAAAAACGGCTTACTGCTTGACCTGCGGCGAGAAATTAGCATTATAAGGCACAAATGTTTTTTTCTTTTAGTGGGCCAAAAATTGCTCTTTTGATTGTAAAGGTTGCTGACCCCAGTTCTAAGGTAACAAAAACACTATTCTTATATTCAGGTGATTATACACTAATGAAAACATATCTATGAATATCATATTCCATTTCTGCCAATACATTCTCACAATGGACCTTTGAGCTGCAGATCTTTTCCCTGTTTCTCACTTTGTCTATAAACTGTCATAAAATAAATGGCCCATCACAATTTCCAACAGCCCAAGTTAACATATTGAAATTGTCAAAGATATTCAGTTCCTGATCATAAAAAATGAAGAAAAACCAGCAATATTTACATCTGCTAATTTCACTAATTCCCCTCAACTTCAAAAATTGGCTCTCAGATCACAAAATTGTTTCCATCAACATCTGTCATACATTGTCAACTAGACATTCCTTGGCACTAAATGGACAAATGCGTATTGCGGAGATCTCCACAGGGTTGTTAATCATTCTTGATGACTCAACAACTACTTTACCAAGTGAGACTGGTGGCCTTCAAAATTAGATTTCTGCATTGTGATATTGGCCAACTGACTCATCTCGAATAGGAAAATGTGGCTCCATCATTTATGATAATACTGTACAGTCAGAGACCTGTTGATGCTGATGTTGCAATTCCTTGAAAATGATATGGTTCATTTAGATTAAGTGGAATGTCTACAGCGTTATGCATACAATGTGCAGTGGTAAGAAATTATCCACTAGGCACAAATTGATAATTTTGTAGTACACTTTTTTTAGGAGGAGCCCATCTTCCTCAATATCTGCATATTATCAAGTCTTTAAATGACCACCAGTCGACCTAATATAGCTTAAAGAATGGTCAATATTAGTTCAACACTAGATCCACAAAACAGCTATGACAAACTAAATTTAGGAAATTGAAGAAAGAAAACTTTCAAAAATAAGTGACACTATTGCGGTAAGGAGAGTGCCTTTTTGCATACGTCCTTGTATTTGTCTCCAAATATGTTTCTACAACTGACAACCTCCCACACACAAGCATAGCCATTCAATTCTATAACATTTCAAGAATGCAAGGACTGGAAAAACTGGGAGAAAAAAAATAATTCAGTCATAGGGCTTTCATCCGAAGCATGCTGGGATAGGCTTCAGCTACCTGTGACCCTGAGAGGAGTAAGCAAAGGCACGTGGTAGAGGACGGATGGCAATCAGAGGTTTATAAAGCCCTTTTCAGACAAGAAATCTCTATCATCGCTGGCTGTGTGTATCTGTTACAGTAATGGCTTTGTAACTGCGCTAGTGGTGTTGCTGTACCTGCATGCCAGTAGGGCTCAGTAGGCTCCACCAATCCCTATCCAGGCCAAAGACAAAGGCGTTGGCCAAGCCGTGGAGTGGTGCTGACAGGACGTGCAACAGGGTGAGAGGGAAGGATGGATCCTGTGGGTAGAAGGCATTATGGAGCCTGTTGGAGAAGAGAGAGAGAGACAGAAGTGTTCGTGAGTTCATCCATAAAAATAAAAAAAAGGTTGTAAATAAAGAGACAACCTGCAAGAGAGCTTCGGGGGTGAGTAATTGAAGGAGAAGTCAGAAGCAGTAGAAAGACAGCAACGGGAAAAAAGGGAAAGACAGGGAGCGAGAAGTTGATAGACAGAGCAACTAAAAGAGGGAGAAAGAGAGGGAGAGGACAAGTGAGTGACAGAGTGAGGGACAGGGTGAGAACGAGAGGTAATGAGAGCGAGCGGCGCAGGCAGAAAGGGAGAGAGAGAGGAAAAGGGGAGGGCGAAAGAGCGAGTGAGCTTTATATCAGCGTTTAAGAGCCCATTAGGCAGCGTGAGACGGCTGGGCTGACACATTCTTGGCTGCCGCTTCGACAGCACGCAGCACTTTACAAGGACAGGGAGAAGTGTAGCGCTCGACTCCCTTCCTCTCCTTCTCTCCCCTTTCTCTCCTCTCAGTTTCCTGCTTCTCCTGACCACAATTCCACCGTCCCCTTTTCTCCTTCTTTTTCATTCTATGCACGTTTCCTACACACTGCCTCCCCCTTCTCCGATATCTCCCCCATTTCTTTGCATTCGGTTTCATCTGTCTGGATATCTCATTTTCATCTTGACTCATGAGGGTGATCCTCGATCCTTTTCTTTTCAATTCGCCTCCCTGTGCCTATCTCTCTGGGAGCCTGGGGCATGACTAGGAGGAGAACCTGATATTGTGTGGTGCGGCTGCAAACTAATGGCTGCCCCTGAGAATGATGCTGCTCAGCCATTAACCCTGGATTAACCCTGTATTAGCGCTGCGCGTCGGGTTAGCCCGCCGCTAATGTCTTTTATTGATCTATTAGCGAGAGAATCAAACCGCACACAGCTCGCAGCGTTTTCCGTATGTATGTGTCCCTAGGTTGGGTGCACAGAGTGAACTAAGTGGCCACGGTGGTTGACCTCAGGTTCGAGAGAAAGGCCTCCCCAAGCTACTTGTGCCCCGCAGGGAAAGAAGATACAAAACCAACCATTTGAGGAAGAGAACCACTATGTGGTTGCAAGCAGTTACGTGAGACACCACAGTCACTATCTATTTGTGACTGACACAGTCAGAGGATGAGGCACGTCTCCAGTTATTTACAATGATAATGATTTCATTAAGATCTTTGGTAACAGCACTATTGTTGTGTTTTCAACTATTCTCCCCATTAATCACTTCACAACAGTGTTGCCAATAGTGTGACATAACTGGACTCATCCCTAAACAAACAAGCCTTGTCTGTAAAAAAAAAAACTAAAATAACTACAAGTAACTACTTTATATGATACATTGCAACTTTTTTTTTTAGCATAAATCTTTAAAACAGTTCATAAAGACATGGTTCCAGGTTTTGGCAAATGTTCTCAACAGTTTACTCAAACAGGAGTAAATACCGTACTATTTTCAGTTGCTGATTAATTCATATTTGGTTTGCTAATATCTATGGCACCAGGATATTGAGGGATTGACTCAAAATAATCTACAGTGTCCATAATGAAGGAATATTCACCCAACTGGGTGGACCATATGTGTTTTTCTAAGCTTTTGGAAAACAAATGAGGGTTTGGCTAGACAGGCAATACTTGTTAGAAGGACAAATTCATAGCAAGTTTTGCATTTGTGCAATGTGTTGGCAAAAAGAAAAGTATTGAATATTTTCCCAGCCTTATCCTTTAAAAGTTTCTGTCCATGAAAGATGGTCAAAGGATAAATCACTTTCAACACATATATCTAAGTGAAATCTAAGTAATAAGTAACAAGTAAGAACATTGTATTTGCAAAAGGAAGTAAGTGGATTTATGATAAATGTGGGCCTAATTTGAAGAAAATCAAACACTGACACTAATATTAAGGCTGTTTGGTGTAATCATACAAAGGGTTGTAACTAATGCGACAACACAATGAATTACAGTGTTATAGTCTGGTCGATAGGACCTAAAATCCATATGATGAGCCACATTTACCTTGGTCAACACAAATAAAACCAGTGCTGAGCAATGTACCGGGTGAACCGGTGTACCAGTTTTAATTTCCTATATGATATGAATTTTTCATATACAACCATACTGGTGCATAGCTGAAACAACTGCTGCAAGTGCCAAGGTTGGGGCAAGCTGTGTACTGTGTATTGAGAGGGGAGCCCTGTTAAGTGTATACCCTTCTTAATAACAGTTATAACTTTATAGCGCAACAATTAATGACCCACAACTAACTCTAATACGGCAAAACAAAATGGCACACAGCAATTTGTGTCAATTTGTTTCTTAATTGTGCATTTAGAAAAGGTAGCAAGGCTAAAGTTGTTGGCAATTGTGTTTTATTTCTACCTTTTGAGTAAGTTTTAAGCCATTAGAAATCGATGTAAAGGCCCAGTCATTTACATTAAGCTCAATATGGCACCAACTCTCTGGACCTGTGTCCAACTGTAATTTCTCCAACATTTGAGTTGTTGTTGTTGTTAAGTAGTTGATTACATTGTTAAAACAGCGAAGTGGAACGATGCCAACTCGTCTTGATCTGTTATGAATGTACCTGCACAAATGTAACAAGAAACTGCTGACCGACTGTAACTGATTGTTTGAACTCAGGGTTAGATGTGATTGTTGTGCTTTTAGATGCTTTAAGGGAGTAGAGTACACATCGCAGCCTACCTAAAGAAATAAACTGACTAAACATACTGACGTGACTTTGGATGACTACAGTTTTGGTAAACTTTATTCTGTAAATGTGAAAAATGCCCCACCTTTGAATTACAGGTTAGAGGCACTTTTACTTGCCAAACTAAGCAAGCACATCATTATGACCTGTTTTTCTTCTTCTTTTAACTTCCCTTAAAAACCCAGTGACTCTGCAGGTGAAAAGTACAGGAGATGATTATGGAGATTCATCCACAAATCTGGTTATAATCCTCTCTTATCCTCTTTTGGAGCACGAGGTTGCGAGGTTTATTTGCTAGTAATCTGTCTCCATTTACCTTCCACATACCCTTTGGAAAGTTGTGACAGGAAAGACACCGTGTGTTGGGTTGGCCAAAGGTTGGAGAGCAACCTGTAACAAGAACCTACCTGTTGTAAGTCAGTCTGGGTGAGGGTGGCAACTAAATGCGGCTTGAAATAAAAGCAACAGTGCAGCTAGTGGAGTGTAGAGTGGCGTGTCCTGGCGCTTGTCGGAGTGAGGACCATTTCAGAGCAACGCTGCCTATTTTCTGGGTTAGCCTACTGCTGTATCTCCAAGGACCAGACCAGCTGCTGCTCACATTCATTTCACTTCCCATTAAAGGTGAAATAAATCAGGAGTCCCCACACAACCTCCTAAGAGACGCAGAAAACACACACACATACATGCGGACGGAGGAAGTCGGACATGCATAAACACACATCACTGGCTGTGCGTGGAGGTGTCTACATACAGTATAACCTAGGTCATATGCACTGAGGATGTCAGGTGGAGAGGAAATGCAGTGGATGTGTCTTTGTGTGTGCGTCTGCCTGAGTGTGTGTGTTTGACAGCGCAGCGGTGAGAGTGAGTGGGTCTGTGTGAAGGGGGGCTATTTCTGGCGTCTCATTTTTTTTTCCCTGCTGCCGCAAAGAAATGCGATCGGCGTCCGGGAAACGAGAGCTGGCAGCAAGCAATCATCTGCCTTCCACACACACACACACACAGCACACACACACAGCACCTCACAGTGCCGAGCAACACGCGCCATGGCAACGGAACAGCCGCAATTAGAGGCGAAGAGCCTTTCCCCTCCATCGAGGGAGAGACGGAGAGCGAAATGAAAGGAAGAAAGAAAAGAGCAGGCGAGAGAGAGAAAGAGAGACA